GTGTTAGGAGCTCTTGGCTCGGGCCGCTGTCGGCCGGCTCCTCTGTGTTGCTCTGCTCGGAGACGCCTGACGGGCCGGCCCCGCTCAGCCCTGTGTCAGGTCACCAGCAGAAGTGTTGGCTGAGATCGCACTCGCTGACCGCCACAGGTTCTGCTCTGCCCGCCTGCTCCCCCCCCCGGTTTAATTCATCTTTGTTTTTCAAGAGTATATGATGCTGCTTAGCTTCTGGCTACTCATAATCCCCATCTTCTCCAGCAAAGGTTTCCTGTATGGTTCTACATGAAATGCCTTGATGAATTTATTTATTCTATATATACCATAAATTCCTATCTATTCTCTGTGAGACTCAGTTTACTCAGTGTGGTTTAGTTTTAGCAAGGCAGTGGTGTACCCCAGGCACATCTTTAAGCTAACTCCATGTTTGAAGCATTTGTTAAAAAGTGTTGCGTACTTGAGAATGCCAAATAATAGGCTTGTAGATAACGTGGTGTTGGTGCCCCCACCCCATGAAGCAGACCTCATAAAGCTGTAGGAAGAGGGAAACCTTGTGCTGATTTGAATTGTCTTTTCCCAGGAGTTCTAAAAAAATTTACAAGTGATTTCTGTATCTCTGCCTTCACACCCTTAATGAAGCAGAGTTAGACAAGGCAGGACTTGTTTACTTGAGACGTTGGTCATGTCTGAATTGTGTTGCATCCCTCCTGTCCCTCCGCTGCGCTCGGCAGACTCCCCTGCTCTCGAGGCGGGGCGTGGGCTGGGAATCTCAGGAGAACATTACTGGGAGGCTTTTAAGTATTTCAGGGAACAGGGGCAAATATCTAAGCGACACAAAGAATCTGCAAGAGCCACAGACATCAGTAAAGTGCATGCATGTAGATACTTTTTTTTTTTTTTATCTTCATTCTTTTTACATAAGAAAATAAGGCTGTGATTCAGCAGTAATGAAACAAAATGCTTGCAGGGCTGGCTCAAGAGGAAGGGACCGCTGTCCTGTGTGCTCAGACGCATGAGACAAGCTGCACGGTGGAGCCTGTTGCCTCTGGCCAGCCTGCGGCTGCAGGAGCAGATGAGCGGCTCTCATTTAAGCACCAAGAAGTACGTCGTCCAGCCGGCGAGCAGCAGCGCTCCAACCAGCACGGTGTAACTGAACAGCACAAAGGCCAGCAGCTCCTTCAGCAACTTGAGGAAGTGGATGGTGAAGGAGTCCGGCATGGTTCTCCCCGGCACTGTGGCAGGTAGGGTCTCCAGGGCTGGCTGCTGCTGTAACTCCTCCCCGGTCTGTAAGCAAAGGGACAGGATGAGCCTTTCTGAGCAAGGAGACTGCAGAGCCGATGGGATGGCTCTGCTTGTGGGGAGAAATGGCTGTGTTTAGGAGGGTTAACGGCCACGCGTCCTTTTGAGAAGGTTGTTAGTGTCAGGTTGGACTTGTGTGTGCTCGTTTTGGGTCCTGTATAGGATTGCTGAGCTGTTTAGTGTTGAAAAAGAGTTTGGGATCTGATCAAAGTCTCCAAATCAGGACTGGTAACTAAGCAAATTAAAATACTGACACGCAGGCAGTGGACACTGCCGTGTCAGTAAGGGCCAGAGGCCCTTAGAGCAACCAGCTGGCTCCTGGTATCTTTCCCCCTGTGTCAGTGGCTGTGCATCCAGAAAGCTTCACGTTCAGAGCGGTCGCTGATGGTGCATTACCAACAGGGTGTTCTGATCAAAGTGGTCAATTCCTCCAAGGAAGCCACCGTTAATATTTAATGATATAATTGCATCTAATGGAGATACTGGCACAAACTGAGCCTTTTGTTTAAGAATGATGAAAACTGGGGCTTAAATACAAGTTTGTACAGGCAAATATTTATATCTCACGTTAAAAATAACCTTTAAACGGGATAAGATGCTTTAGAATTCATCTTCTAGCTGTATTTTAAAGTCATACTTACACATCACTTCAGAAGTGATTGCTCTTTTGTTAGTTTAATACAAAATCTGAACTCTTTCACAAAACTTGTTGGCTCCTTACACTTAAAGCTGTGAAGACCCATCTATAAAATTCTACCGTCTCTCCAACTTACATGTTCTTCTTAATTTTGATCATAACTGTGCCTGATCAAAAATATCCACGCTCTTGGTCAAGCACATAAAGGGAATTTAAAACGAGATTTGAGATAAAGCTAAACTAAGAGGATAATTTCTGTTCTAAACAAAGCCAGCCAAAGTAAACCGAATTCCCATCCTGCCACTTAGAATATTTTTTTAAAGAGCTCTTGCGGTAGAGAGTTCACTTTTTGGTCTTATTGAAGAGTTCAGTCATTTCATTCTAAGCTCAGGCACATGTGTACATTGTAGGAGCTATTGCCTTTTAAAACCAGCCATGATTTCCCAGTTCAAAGCATTGAGGTTTTCTATCTATAGGCTTTACGTGATTTCCGATTATCTAAAAAGATGTTGATAAAGAGATAAACTGCTTACCCAGGTAGATGATGGCCTCTACTTCGTAAAGTTCCTATTTCTCTCTAGTTTTGTTCTGCAGCTGTCCCTTGAACTTCTGCCTTCTAAATGGTTTGTGCTGTAGTTTGATCCCCTTCTGATCTGCTCGTCCGGGAGCCAGGAGTAATGAGGTTGTGTTTGCAGCCCACACGAGGACTAATGCACTAGGTGTGGCCAGGACCAGTTATTATATGACATAGCGCCTTTGCGCTCTGTGCAGCACGGCAGCACAGAGCATGCCAAATAGCTCCCCTTCCCCAGAGTGCTCTTGTCAACACTATTTCCTGAGTTTAAGCGCCATGGCTTAGAGTTACCGGGTCAAAACCTGTGTTTATTTGGATGTGGAGGATATTTTTTTTTCCCCTCTAACAAAGCGTTGTGTCATCTTACACTCTTTATTCTGCAGTTACCTGGAAGGCTGTTGCACCTCTTGCTCCGTTCTCTGAGAGCCCTGTGCTTCTGCGGGCCACTCGGGGAGGAGGCTGCTCACATACAGCGGGGGGTCACCCCAGATCAGCAGCACATTATGGGATGGAACTATGTAGGCAGAGTCGGGCTTTTTTATCAAAAGACAGCCCAATCGCTGCGCTGTCACTAGTTCACTGCTCTAGCTTCACCCTGGGGCACCCAAGAAGTCATCCCTACCTTTTAGAGAGTGAGTGCTACAACTCTTTCGCAGCAGTGGGGGCGGGGGGAGGAGGGAGGTAAGCTCTATGTTTAACAAAACTGCTTTCCGATAACGTTATATGAAAAGTGAAAGTCTTTTGGGGTGGAGGATGGGTAATGTTTTCTTTTTTTGCTCGTAAACCAGACAAATGCAGACAGCAGAGAGAAGGAAGAGTACGTACTGCAAATCAAATCTCTTACCTACAAAGATATTATGATGTAGAAAATGGCCCCTTAATTTAATTAGGCTCTCTTGTTATCAAATTATTACCCGCATGGTCAGCAAGGCCTTAGACAGAAGCAGAACATAATCAAGCTGCTCAGGAAGCCTGTTAAGTAGTAATTGCTCCTCCAGAGAATCGATCAACGTCAAGATGGCTTCTATTTTTTGTTGTTGTTGAATATTTCCAGGAAGAGGCTTTGTCTAGTTTGAGTGTCCACATGGCTCTAGCTTGGTGATGGTGCAGGCTACAGCCTGCAAAAAAAATAGGCAGCAGTGTTGTTGATACATTAGAGTTTACCAAGTGTCTGGCGTAAACTATTTTTGAAACAAGTTTTGTCTCTGGTGTTACTAACACACACGTTTGCTGGTCCAAGTGAAAAGGTAAGCAAGCTGTTGAACTGGCACTTTGCATAGTTTCCTTTATTCACTCGTGGTGTAGCTTTTACACATTGTGACCTTAGTTTGCAAACTAGCCTGATCAGTGCTATTAATTTCCTTGTGATTAGTTCCATTTTTAGGATTAAAA